GTGTTCTCATTGGAAAGCAAGTCGTCCGGCTTTCATGGGGCAGGATTCCAACTTCAAAAAAAGGTGTGCCCTTATTCTATAGTCCCGAATTAATTGATACAACTAGGATATGCTTTTCGTATGTAGTATTTGCTTTTACTGAGCTGATTTTAGTCAAGTAGATTATCACATACATAATGCTTATATGATCCATACAATTTTGTGACACAGAATGGATGTTAACGTATGTTCTTTTCAGTTATTTCAATTTTATTTTGTCCCTAATTTGTAAATCTATATCACAAATGTTTGTTTATTTATGCTCATTACTATTATTAACTACCAGAAAAACTACCACATTATACCATAAAAATATTAACCACCACATTAATTCCATTCATTTTAGAAAATAAACAAATCAACATCCAATATAAGAACTGGTCGCGCTACACGCGACACAACAGAAACTAGTACTGCTTGAATAAAAGTTTGATTCCCTAAGAAATTTGGAAAAAATATTCAGCCCAGGTCAGATCCTGACCGTCCAAAGGTCTCAATCCAATGGTCTAAAACAATTTGACGGACGTCATGACATCAACAACTTATGGAAGGACGTAATTGTAAATTTATAATTAAATGTTTATTTTGCTCCCTTATTTAAAAATCCCCCGAACTCAAAACGGCCTTGTTTTGGGTATTACAGTTAAACATCTATAAATTAATACTATTAGGACCCCAAAAAATTATTAATTTATCGATGTATTAATTTATCGATAAATTAATAATTTAATTTAAAGAAAATCCCAAAGTATCCTATTAATCTTTTAAGCTTAGCTATATAAGATTTATATTCCTTTATTTCCTTATATCCAATAAGCATTAGAATTTAGACTCCACCATCATTTTAAATTTTATCACCTACCTAATCTATGTAACATGCCTCTATTAAAAGAGATCTTTTTCTGGGAAATCTTTAAACTCCCATCAATGGCGGGATATATAATGCAAAAAATTCATCACATCTACAATGCTTTGATTCTCAAGCTCATAGTATTTTTTTTTTCAAGTCATTATTAATTTATGATATTGACGGGACCTCTATTTACATAGGGTTTTTTAAAAAATTATTAGCTTATTATTTTATCGATTATCTTTGTTTTTTGTACTGGTCCTGACTTGGAACCGGAGAAAATTATTAATTTATCGATGTTGTTAATTTATCGATTATTAATTTATCGATGTTATACTGTGTTTTAAAACCCCCGAACCCAAAACGATGTCGTTTTGAGACATTAGTTTAAAACCCCCGATTCTAAAGATCTGACACATACTCCCTCTGTCCCATAATTATTGTCGAGATTGAGATTTCACTTCTAATACAATTTGAACTAGAAATAAAAACCTAAATTGGACAATAATTATGGGACAGAGGGTATTAATATAGATTTGGTTGAGACTCTTTCTTTTCTCCTTTTTCTAAAGGGAAAATTTGGCTAAACGGCAGTAGAACAGGTCAAATTAATAAAATGCGTGTGACCAAAAATATTTTGTATGAAGGGCAATAATTTATTTGTCAAAAATCTCTAAATAAAAATTTTTTGAATTGACAATATCACCCTTATAATTTCTTAAAAAATATAATAATAAAACATATGAAAGCCTAAATAGTTTTTAATGGAAATTGACATATTAACGGGAGAAGAAGAAAAAGGATTTCTGCTCCTTTGAAGAATTTTGTTTTGAGGAGAGTTGATTCTTATTGAAGATTTCTTTGATGGCTTCGAGTGTTGCAGTGGGCAGTTCTTGAAGGTGGGATGAAGCAAAGAACATGGCGGTCACTCAAGGAGGAAAAAATTTGTGCTCTTGTAATGTTTACAATTCCACTGGCCATGCTCTTCCCAACAATTCTAAGGCAAACTTTGATGAATAAAACAAATCAATAAAACGAAAAAAAAAAAAAAAACCATTAGGCTGCCAACAATGCCAATAGAGGTATGTCAATGGTCCACGTGGAATAAACTGATTTGATGCTTTGGACAAAGCCACGCTGGCGATGCTGCTTCCGTTTAGACTTCAGAGTTCCTAACTTATTTGTTTTGCCAAATGCACCTTGTAGTTTGGAGAAATTACTTATTTTGTCAGTTTTCTTGTAGCTTGATGCGATTGATTTTATGACTAGGTAGATTTTTCGGGGTTGCAGTTAAACACCCTTAAGGTAGCAGCTGTTAGTTCATATGATTTCTTTCATGAAAAATGCTTTTGTATGGCAGAACTCTCCATTGCATTCATATACACCTGTTTCTTTCTTTTGGTAGTGCCTTATATGTTGTACAATGAGATGCAAGATAGTAAAATATTTCTGGTGTTGGAAATAGTTCATAGGCTCTCCTCTGTAATGATTCCTAACAAATAGTCAAGCCCTTGTGCATTCTTAGAGACCTCCTAATTATGATAAAAAGGTTTTCAAAATGTTCGGGAGAAAAGTATTGCACAAGAAAAAACGAGAAGATTGCAAACGCTGTAATGAACAACAATAATACCAGCCATATAGTTAACATTCTCATTGGTCCTGTTCTCTTTAATGTCTCTTACGAGGCATATTGTGCTACCATATTCTGGTTTGCTTGAAATTAAAATTCATTCATGCAGCATTAAATTGATCAGTTTTCTTCCTTTGCAGCTCTCCCATCTTTATTATTGGTGACACGGAGGGTGGGAAATGGCTTTGCTGCTACTGCTGCAGTAGCTGCATTAGCTGGTAGAACTGGTTTGAATTTAGTGTGGGTACTACTTTGGACCAGAGTTTCAAACCACAGGAGATAGCCACTTACCTGGTAGATATGACTGACAATGCTGGAGCTAAAAGAAGGTATTTGAATAGTGCGGTGCTTCTTTTTAGTAGTAGCTTGATAAGTTCATATCTGCTTGCACATTATATGTTTTACTATATTGCTTTAGCCATTCACTTGAAGTGCTGAAAATGAACAGAGTCTATAGCTGTCATTGGAAAAACAGAGCCAATAGATCTTGATGAGCATCTTTTCAAGTATTCGGTTTGTTCTTTATATGTAAACATTAATTCGTATCTTCTGTGTAGTTTCCCTGTCACTGCTGTGTAACTCATTGGGTTTAGGCCGTCAATTGACTCCTCCTTTACTGTATCTGTTTAACTAAATTGCGATGGAGCTTTTTGTTTGATGATTTTATTGTTTTGATATCGATTTCTGCCTGGCTGATGGATACATAGAAGTACTTTTCAATGCTTCATTAGGATTTTGATTTTAATAATATTAGTTCTGTTGGACCATAATCAACAGCAAAGTTCGAGTTTATCTTACTGGTACAGGATTGGTGCCTTTGATGTGTGTATCTAATTCTGCTTGATAGTTTGTTCTTCTAGGCGTTATCTTCATTTTGGCTTTCTGTCTTGCTGATTGATACATAGAAGTATTCTTTGATGCTTCGTTTGGATTTTGATTTTAATGATATTAGTTCTATTGGACCATAACCAACAACAAAGTTCGAGTTTATCTTACTGGTACAGGATTGGTGCCTTTGATGTGTGTATCTAACTTCTGCTTGATAGTTTGTTCTTCTAGGCGTTATCTTCATTTTGGCTTTCTGTCTTGCTGATTGATACATAGAAGTATTCTTTGATGCTTCGTTTGGATTTTGATTTTAATGATATTAGTTCTATTGGACCATAACCAACAACAAAGTTCGAGTTTATCTTACTGGTACAGGATTGGTGCCTTTGATGTATTATCCAAGTTTTGCTTGATTGTTTTTTTTTTTTTGTGAAGTAGTTATTGATTATCCAAGTACTCAAATATTAGGAATATTTTTGTTCCAGCTGACTTTCTTTGGCATCTGAAAAAACTTTATGGGATTTGTTTGAAGAAATGCCTATATAGGTTGGAAATTTGGTCTCCATATGCTGCCTTGACAAACTTTTTATATTTTTTGTCCTTGGCTAAAAGTTTTTAGTTTCTCCTTTGGTGCATTATTTCATTCTTGCATGTGAAATGCTTACCATGGTTTCAGTAAAACCTTTTACATTTGCTGGAGTTTCAGACGAACTTGAGTCCAAACTCATTATCTTTTTATGTTCTTGGCTTAAAGTTTAGAGTTCTGCTTTGGTGCATTATTTCATTCTTGCAGGTGAAATGCTTGGCATGTTTTCACATGCTTGGCGTGTGAAATGCTTTGGTAAGGGCTATAATCTTTGTTCACAACAGTGGAGTATGTTTTCTGAAAGATTTGCTACTTCTTGAAGATGCCTTTCTCCAACTCCTGCTAGAGTTGCCGTTTCTTTTTGGTTGGCAGCTAGGAATGAAAATGCACTGTTATGTAACATGGTAAAGTATCAGTTGGTTCACAAGATAGAAAAAATGTCATTAGAAAATGTACCAAAGATCGATTTCCTCATGTGAATTCTTGATGGTGTTCTCAGCTTTTGAAATTTTCATAAAAAATTTAATGGTCCAGCGACCCATTTTATTGAGCACTCCAAACACCTAGGTGAAATGAAACAAAGCTGAAATCCCCTTCTTAGCAATATATGAAATTCATGATCAGATTTCTACAATATGTGCCTTATAAGACTATTAATGTTGGACCCGCATGTGGTGAATTCATGAATTTTGAATTTTCAACAAAGGGGTAAAAGTTGGACACGCAATCTTTTTACCCCTTTGTTGAATAACACAAATGAAAACAAGAAAGTAGTAAAGTAGAAAAAGGGAAAAAAAAAATTAAAATAACGTGATGAAGTGTATGCCAGTTTTAGGTTCAAACTTTTTATTGATTTTACAGAAATGATGGTCGGGGAAAAAAAAAAAACATGTAGATCCCTTTCATATGCCGGATCATCTATGTGCTTTCAGTTTATAATTAAAGAAATACACATTTATTAGTCGAATTCGACTACTTACATAAAATAAAATGAAAATAAATTATTTGTTTTTTCCGTTAACTATTACGTGGTAAGATAGATATCTAACTAATATTCTTCAAGACAAATTTTTTGAACACGAACAAAGTAAAATGATTCAAATAAATACTGGTATTAAAATAACTAATAACTTCACTTTGCTATTATGTGCGTCTGCCGTGTTTTACATACCTGGAGGACCAAAACAATAAGTACAATGTTGCATGATTCAAGGTCGACAAAAGATGTAACAATATCTTCATTCTTCCATCCATTGTAATTGAATGAGAAGATATTATTCTTTCCCATATTTCTTACATTTTTTTTTCTGAAAGCCATGAAATTAGATTAATTAATTGATCAACTTTGTTTTTCTACTTGCATTATGGAATCTGTAACATAGAGCATATTCACTCACTGACTCATCTTTTTTATGGCCACATGAGCATAATTACTACCCAATTATAGAACATGCAAAAATCATCCATTTTGCTAAAAAAATCAAGGACATCTCTACGTCACCCTTTCCAGAGTGAAAGCATCCACGGTGTTGAAGGGACTGACCATTCCACCTTTGTTGTACGAGGTCCTAGGTCTTGGCCATTTCATCTGCGCAGGAAGAGGTCTTAGAGGACGACAACAGAACTGGGAACATCGTCTACAAAGAGGTGTTCAACCTCGCCGACTAATAAAATAACCACCCAGTCGTGTGGCTAATTTCAATATTCAAATTGCTTATTTAAAAGCAGCTGTATTTGTTTATTTATAATAAAAAAATTTGTTACGATTATTTGCTATTTCAACTGCGAGTTACGAAATGGCCGCGCGCTCGCTGACCAATAGAAATAGTAGCCATGTCGCGTCACTAATATCTTTTACTTTCAATCTTCTTTGCTATACAAAATTTTTACGTTCAAATCGCTTATTTTAAAAATAACATTATGTATTCACATACGAATTGCTTATTTAATATAAACAGTATTTGTTTATTTATAATTATAAAACATTTGTTGAGATTATTTAACATTTCAGCTGGGGATTACGAACTGGTGGCACAACGCGCGACCGCCCATGACTAGTTTAACCATAGGCGTCGGGGTTTTTTTTTGTTTGTTTTGAAAATAAAATGTTGAATTAGAATACAATACATAATTAATTTTCTCTATCTGACAATATAATTATCTAATTTTTATGTACATTTATAACATGAATATGTTTCTATGTATACGGTGTTAAAATTCTTTTTAAGCGATACGAGGTAGTTTTGACTTAAGGTGTTTTGGAGGAAAAACTTTTAATCATAACGCGACACCTCAGTATTTTTCTTCTCTTGGACTTTTCTTTTAAAAGGATATATATATATTGATTGGTTTTGTTGATGTCGTAGTGAATAATGTTCCAAAGTGAGGTATATATACTAACTCATAGTAGTTTTTGAGACGGAAAATTAGGGCTAGATATGAGTGATATTCTTAAATTTGGAAGTATTTTATAGAATATGGTGAGTTACGCAGGAAGAATTATAATATAGGGTAGTCTTTTTTTTTTTTTTGGTTACAATAGGGTAGTCCTTTTTAATTGTTGATTATGAAATTTTAATATAGCGTCTTTTGTTTTTTTTTTTGTTATGGAATATCAATCAAGATCAATGCACATTAATACCATGATTCCTAGTATTTAACATATTTTATTTGGTCAAAGATGTTATTTAATAGCACAATTCAAAAAGATAGGTAGGAATGATTTTGTATTTTATCTTTCAAAATGGAATGATATCAATTAGGCACATTAATTGCGTTATAATTTGATTCTGATAAATGAATCTTTCTTTCTTCTTTTTTTTTTCTTCATTTTTTATAAAACGACGTAGTTTTTGGTGAGCGGAAAAAAATGCATGAGAGTGCGACACGTCATCCTGTTTTTTAGCTTGGACTATTTTCTTTAATAGGATATATAGATTTCTTTCTTCTTCTTCTTCTTTTTTTATTTTTTATAAGACAATGTAGTTTTTGATGGGCGGGAAAAAAATGCATGAGAGTGCAACACGTCATCCTTTTTTTTAGCTTGGACTAATATTTTAATAGGATATATAGATTTCTTTCTTCTTCTTTTTTTTCTTATTTTTTTATAAAATACCGTAGGTTTTGGTGGGCCGAAAGAAATGCATAAGAGTGCGAGACGTCACCCTTTTTTTTTAGCTTGGACTATTATTTTAATAGGATAATATAGATTTTTGTCCAATCAAACAAAAGAATTGGTATTAGAACTTCCAATTCCAATTCCATGGCCCAATTAATTACAACCAAACATAGCCTTAAAATATTATTAGTATGATTTATATAGATTTTTTTGTATTCTTTAAAAGAACAAAAACATAAAAATCATAACTAGATTGAATCATTTTACCCTTGAATTTGAGGTTTTCGCTCCGCCGTTGATGTTTCCGGTAATGGCTGCTGCTCGGTCTTGATAATTGGCTTATCATGACGGGACAATGCTTGCCTTGCCTGCAATTAATCATCAATTTTACTAAGCTGATAAAGTACATAATATATATCATCATTTTCACATCTTTGGATACATAATTTCCGTCGAAATTTAAAATCGTTCTCAATGATAAAGTATAAACGTATCATTGAACAAAAAAGAGAGTGAAATAACCTCTTTATCCCAATCACGTCGAATGGTAATGACTGCCAGGATTCCAGTCTGAACCGCAGTACCACCTATTATCATGGCACACCAAATACCCTGGTAATTAAATCAAATTCACAAAATCAATATTCTTTCGCATTATCATTTGAGATACTCTTTTTTTTTTGGGACTAAAATTTTAGATACATTTAGACCTATACATGCTAAACAAGGCAGATATTATTGGGTCTAAGTGAACAATTACAAATATAATCCATTTAGACCCAATTGAATTTTTTGGATTGTCTTCGTGGAGTTCACTGTCGTGGAGGTGCGGTTTCGTGTATCTTGAACCATGAACATGAACCAAGTCCCATCATGCATGTAAGCGTGTTCTTTATTAATCATGAAGAAAACAAACTAAGATTTTCCCCGAAAAAAAAAAAAACTATACATCAAGAAAAAAGTTACAAGGAAATTTTTATAATATTTGTCCATTGCCTATATCATTTCCGTAATTTTAAATGTATAAATCTCAAATAAAAATAAATGGAGTAATAAATTTTTGTAACTTTTCTTACAAAATATTTCGTGTATAAAACATTAGGGTACCTTAACGCCCAAGTCAAGTGCCATTCCCATCACAACTCCAAGCGGGACACCAATAATGTAGTAACATCCTAAATTGGTGCAGGCAACCAAAGATTGCCATCCTGAACCAATAGCAACTCCTGCCAATATCCAAACCAATTGAATTTAATAATTTGATTCTAAATTGGTGCACACACACACACATATATATATATTTGTCAAACAGGTTATTTGATCTTACCGGACAAAATTGGTTGAACACTGTTGAGTAAAATTGTAAAGGCTAAGAGGTAGGAGAGTTTGTGCACAGCCATAATGATCTCAAGGCTAGATGAAAATATATGTGCTAATTTCACGTTGAAAATGAGGATAATAGCACAGAAAATGACCCCAAGCACAGTAGATTGCACAAGGGACACCTTTGCTGCAAATTTTGCTCCTTTTGCGTTTCCTGCACCCAGTTCATTCGCTACTCTAACTCTGCAAAATTATGTTAGTTGTTGATAAAATAATGACGCCCAATAATAGGAAGAAAAAATCTTAATAAGTACGCCACATTGTAATTAGTACTCCTGTTCCATATCAAAGTCATACTGAAAAATGTATACACGCTAATGAATCATTATGGTATGGATCAGATATACCATTTGATTCCATCAAATATCCTTCTTAACTCAAATTGAAATAGGATCTCCCATGTATAATTAGACTATATATGTTGACTGAACTAATTTGTAAGGAGAAAAGTGGATTTAGATAGTTTGAAGGAGTGATTTTGTGCAATGAAAAAGAAAAGAGGAAGGACTTGACCAATAACGCATATACGCAAGGAGCACCTACTACTAGGATCTCTTTTCATAATAACAAGATTATTAGGCCGTTTGTGTCCTTTCTCGCAATACCTTAGCTTTTATTTAATTTCTGGTAATTGTTTTAATGAGATTGACAGTAGCACTATCGAGTTTTAATATAAAAAATGCGTTATTTTAAATTTTTCTGTAATTTTACTCGTAGAATTTTAATTTTTTTTTAACCTTAAACAGTGTTGGTTATTTTTTTTTTTCTCTCGATGAGAAATGTCACATGAGATTGCAAGATATCATCAAAACTTATCTCTCACAATCGTTTTAAAAGGATTTTCTTTTTTGTGCTGTTAGTTTCAGTTTATTTTTATCAAAATTTCGTAGTTTTAACTTTTCATTCTCTTTCTGATATTTGTTTTAAGTGTAAAATTTTGATTTTTCTCGTTATTTAACCTGTGGGGTGTTAGCGTTTTTTAACTAAAAATGGCTCCATTTTTTTTAATCAAGAAAACGTCGATTTAGAGCTCCCATACATAATAGAAATTTCTCGCTATAGTAGAATTTAATTTCTATATGCATATATAATGTGTGCTTGTTTTCATATATATAGTTAAAGTTTTTTTTTTTAAAAAAAAAACGAAACTACGTATAGTTTTGACTGGATGCATTTTATTTAGGGAAAATTTTTAGTGACAATGTGACACATCAACTTTTTTTTTCCTTTTTGATTATTGATTTAATATAGTACCGGGTGCTGAATCCGGGCAGTTACCTGTATTTGAAATCTGTTAAATGAAGAAAGCGAAACCATCTGAAAAATATGTATAGTAATATAGAATTTCCGCTAACTTTTGGGCAAATTATCCAGTATACCCGGAGGCACCGTGCCCCCCTCCTATTTTTTGCACGAGTAGTCCTTATTGTACCTTTTTATCAATCTTTCAATATTTTGCAATTTTAGTCCATGTGACTTTTTTCCTTCTCTTCCAAAAAAAACAGCTCTAATCTTTCAACGAGCATATCTCCCAATCCGTGAAGAATTTGTGAACGAATTATACATGAAAATTATAGTACTCGTCGAGATCTATTCAACAAGATCCATTTCGAATATTTTTTTTGAGTTTAAAAATGACTAAATTTTGATGGGCAGAATAAGTTGGATATCCAGTAAGTTGGATAACCAGTATGCACGAGTTGGATAACTAGTATGAACAAAGTGGATAACTAGTTCAAACAATTTGGATAACCATGTAAATCCATTGGATAACCAGCATTAGCGCATTGGATAATCCAATACAAACCAATAATTGGATAACCAATACAAACGAGTTGGATAACCAACTTAGTTTATTATTTTTTAAAAAAATAATAAAAAGAAAAATCATATTGGATAAATAATACTAATTAGTTGGATAATCTGTCCATCAGAATTAAGTCATTTTTAATCCCAAAAAAATGTTCACTGTGGATTTCGTTGGATAGATCTCGACGAGTACTATCAATTTCATATATAATTGGTTCACAAATTCTTCACGGATTGGGAGATATGCTCGTTGAAAGATTAGAGTTGGATATGCATACAAACCAAATGGATGGATATCCAGTACAAATAAGTTGGATAACCAGCATGAACAGATTGGATATCCAGTTTAAAAAGATGGATAACCAACTTATTTTACATTCATATTATTCTTTTCCTTGTATCTAATGATTCGTAAAGAATTATAACACGAATTATATATGAAATTTATAGTGCTCGACGAGATCTATCCGATAAGATCCATGCTGAATATTTTTTTTGAACTTTAAATACATTTAAACTTTACGGGCAGAAAATGAAGAAATGTGTTTTTTTTTCTTTGAAAAATGGTTATCCAATCGGTTTGGAGTGATTATCCATTCTGTTCGTACTTGTTATCCAATCATATGTTTGACATTCACTCTTCAAAAAAAAAAAAAAAAAAGATGGATATCCACCTCTATTCTGTCCATCAGAATTAAGTCATTTTTAAGCCCGAAAAAATGTTCACTGTGGATTTCGTTGGGTAGATCTCGACGAGTACTATAAATTTCATATATAATTTGTTCACAAATTCTTCATGGATTAGGAGATATGCTCGTTGAAAGATTAGAGTTGGATATGCATACAAACCAAATAGATGGATATCCAGTACAAATAAGTTGGATAACCAACATGAACACAGTGGATAACCAGTTTGAGAAGATGGATAACCAACTTATTTCACATTCATATCGTTGTGTTCCTTGTATCTTTTGATCCGTAAAGAATTATAACACGAATTATATATGAAATTTATAGTGCTCGACGAGATTTATCCGATAAGATCAATGTTGAATTTTCTTTTTGAACTTTAAATGCATTTAAATTTTACGGGCAGAAATAAAGAAATGTGTTTTTTGTTTTTCTTTAAAAAATGGTTATCCATTGTGTTCCTACTGATTATCCAACCGGTTTGAACTAGTTATCCATTCTGTTCGTACTTGTTATCCAATCATATGTTTGACATTCACTCTTCCAACAAAAAAAAAAAAGATGGATAACCACCTCTATTCTGTCCATCAGAATTAAGTCATTTTTAAGCCTGAAAAAATGTTCACTGTAGATTTCGTTGGATAGATCTCGACGAGTACTATAAATTTCATATATAATTCGTTCACAAATTCTTCACGGATTGGGAGATATACTCGTTGAAAGATTAGAGTTGGATATGCATGAACACAGTGGATATCCAGTACAAACAAGTTGGATAACCAGCATGTACACAGTGGATAACCAGTACAAATAATTTGGATAAGCATGTAAGTCCATTGGATAACCAGTATTAGCGCATTGGATAATCAATATGAACACATTGGATATCCAGTTTAAGAAGATGGATAACCAACTTATTTTGAATTAAGAAGTTGGATAACCAAATGGATAAGCAGTAGAAACAAAATGGATAACCACTTCAAACCGATTGGATAATTAGCATGAACACGATGGATAAGTAATTTAGAACAAGTTGGTTATCCATCTTGTAAAACTGGATATCCACCCCTATTCTGTCCATCAGAATTAAGCATTTTTAAGCCCAAAAAAAATATTCACTATGGATTTCGTTGGATAGATCTCGACGAGTACTATAAATTTCATATATAATTTGTTCACAAATTCTTCACGGATTGGGAAATTTGCTCGTTTAAAGATTAGGGATGTTTTTTTTGGAAGAGAGAGAAAAAAAACTCACAGGGACTAAACTTGCAAAATATTGAAAGATTGATAAAAAGTACAATAAGGACTACTCGTGCAAAAAATAGGAGGGGTACACGGTGCCCCCATGTATACTAGATACAAACTCAAATTTTGTCTTAGGCAAATAAAGATAAGAATATAAAATAATTGTCATTAAATCTTAAAAACTAGTATTAAAGCGATTTCAACAAACTTAGTGAATAAATTTTGAGAGAAATTATAAATCAAAGATCAGTGTAGAGGAGAAGAAGACAACTTGGAAAATAATCATTCATGAATGAATGAATGGAAATAGTTTCTTTTTTTTTTTATTTGAGAAATGGAGGATTTGCAGGATGCTTTTTCAATGCAATGTCTGCTATGTTTTGATAGTAGGAGTAGAAGTTAATCTATAATATTAACTAGTTTCACAACCCTGCCGGTTGTTGTCGGGCGCCATTCATTGAATATTGATATGTAATTATAAAAATATGATATTTTTTTATTCCTTAAAGTTTCTTCACTAAAATCAAATTTCAAAGAAAAAGATGCATGTTAAAGACCGTCAGTAAAAAGATAAAGACCGCCGTGAAAAAGATAATTCTGCCCTTTTCATTTTTTCGTTCTAAAATAAGTGATTTAAAATTTGAATTTGAAATTTAGAATATATTTTAATTACTATTTCACTAATATTACTACACAATTATAAAACATACTACCTTAATTAATAAAAAAGATCATTTTGATAATAACTAACTTAATTTCACCAAAATTTATTCACTAATTTAACAAATAATAATAATAAATAAAAATTTTTTCTTTTTTTTTAATTCCTGGAAACTGGTCGGCCAGCGGTGCTGCCGTCTGGAATTCCGCTGACCGACCGGAGTGCCGTTCCAAATGGGACGGGAAGAGAGAGGCACCGTCCTCCATGAATTCAGACAGTGTTAATTAAAACCAGACGGTAGGAACACCGTCTGAACTAAAACCAGATGGCAGGAATGGCGTCTGGTTTGGACGCTGACGGAACACTCTCTGCCGGGCGGGACGAGGGACGTGCCGTCCCATTTAAAATCAGACGGCATGCGTATCGTCTGAAATCATTCCAAATAGCACAGATGCCGTCTAGAAATTTGGCGGCCGGCAGCACCGGAGGCTATGGCCGGCTGCCAGTTTTTGTTTTTTCAGTAATTATTATGTTTAGTATTTTTATTATGTTTTATTTTTTTTTCTTTGAATACTTTTAATTGATTATAATGAAATTAAGTTAGTTATATTAGGTAAATTAGTTTTGATGTATATGATTAAGTTGAAAAATATATATTTTGATTAATTTTGAAAATAATTTGAATATTATTTAGTAATTAATTGAATTACTTTATTATTTAGTTTGATTAATTTTGTTAATAATTTGAATATTATTTAGTAAAAGATTATATGCTTTATTAGTGAATAAAATGTTGTTAAATAATTGAAATAGTGAAATAAAATATAGTTGGATTAGTGTATTTATTTAATTATTTAATTAAATAACTACTTTAAATCTTGGAAATTACTAAAGTGAAATTTTTTAAAAAATAAGGACGGCACAATCATCATCCTTATTACATTCGGCCGGCAATGATAGAGGCCCATCAAGAGAAAGCTGCCAGGGGTGGCGTCCATTGGGAATAATTTTTAAATTTTTTTCTTACAGTTCTTTTAATTGTTTAATATTTTTCTTGGGCATTATTAAATAAATTATGGGGAACTTTATTTAGTTATTCGTAAAATGATTTTTTTATTAATTAAAGTAGTATGTTTTACTATTGTTCAGTAAAATTTGGAGTTTTAAAATATGAATTTGAAATTTAGAATATAAGGGTAAAATTGAAAATCAACTCTTAGTCAATGGCGGTCTATATCCATTTCATTGCGGCCTTTAAACTTCCAGAAAAATAAGACCTTGTTTGTCCAAACACTTGTTTTACTTTTTGTCTCATTTTACATCTTAAACACAAAACTCAATTGCACTATCCAAACAACTTTCTACTTTATCTTTTAATGTTGCGTTTGGTCATTACACTTCTGTAAAGTCTTCATTTTGGTCACCGAACTATTGTAAAGTTTTTATAGTGTTTGGTCACTGAATTATTGTAAAGAGTTGCGTTTAGTCACTGAACTATTGTAAAGTCTTGTGTTTGATCATTATACAATTGTAAAGTCTTCATTTTGGTCACTGAATATTTTAGTTTCATAAATCATCACTATACTATAATACTTTTCAAATCAAAACTAAATTACCGTTTAAATCTTCTCGCAAATCAAAATAAAAAACTAAAACAAAACGTTATCCAAACAAACACTAAAGTTCCTATTTTTATAGTTATACAAAATAATACTTAATTTCAAAAATCTAATTTTTTTCATGTGTTTAAGGATTAATTTTATGAATTATTTTTAAAAATTTTTTCTTTGTTGTTCCGTTGAAGATTAAGTTTTTGTTACTTCATAATTTTAGGTGGTAAAATATGATTTCTGTAGTTGCCATGTGTCCTTTCTGGCAACTGTTTTAAATAGGTACACATGATTGTTGGGTGAAGAGTAACTAATTCCACGATTAAAGGGATATTATTAGTAATTAGTGTCTTGTATTTGTTTTTTTTACAATCTATAACCCTATTATAACAAAAATCACTTCGTTTTCCAAAAAAACCAATTGTCATTCTATTATTAAAAGTTTCTCTACAATTTATTTACCCATAACGAAACTACAGTGTTTTTTAACAAAAAACTGAATCAATGATAACTCTCCTAATCCGAATGTTCTTTCTCCTCTAGAACAAAACTGAATCAAATGCTCACACTAGCTTTCTAATCTATAATAATCTCTATTATAATAAAAATCACTTTTTCTTTCCAAAAAATCCAAGTGTCATTCTATTATTAAAAGTTTTCTTTGCAGTTTATTTACCCACAACGAAACTACAGTGGTTTTTACAAAAAACGGAATCAATGATAACTCCCCTAATCCGAATGTTCTTTCTGCTCTAGAACAAAACTGAATCAAATGCTCACACTAGCTTTCTAATTGATTATTATCTTCTCAAATTCCCAACTTCTAAAACTCTATAACATTTTCAGTAAATTACTTCCTCAAGCAACACATGAACAGCATGAATGTAGCAAAGTATTTGTAGTCTAGACTTTGTATTTATTGGCATCTAACAGGTAAAGACTTGAATCGCTTTTCTATTTTAGTTTACTTTTAATTTTAATTATGGTGAATTGTATGTGAAATAGACTTTATTTGTTTACTCAAAACTTTCATGAAGGAAGTTGCTTCTCTTAGTGAGCGGTCGCCACTTCTCTTTCAGTTGAAGAGACAAATTCATGCTCCTGTTTCATTCAATATCACCGAACAAAATGAAAAAAAAAAAAAAAACTTTCTTTTAACCTTTCCCTTCTATTTTGGTTAAAAAAAATATGGAAAATATAAATTCGATTTTTGTTGTCGCCAGTATGCTATTTTTTTCTTCTTTTTTTTTTTTTCTAATTTGTTGGAATATTTTTTGATGCATGTGGTTGTTCAACTCAGAAAGCATTTTATTTGTCGTTACAAAATATATTTATTCATTATCAACTTTTGGTTTTATCCATATATAAAACTCTTTTTTTAACGAAAATTATTCTGATTTAAGTAAAGATAGTTCATTAGGTATCCGTGCAAATGCACGCGTTCAGAACCTAGTTTTATTGTTATTACTGAATAAATTCATATGTTTTTCCTCATAACGCCACATGTCATTTTTTAGGTAGCTAAAAGGGATTTCAACGGGAAAATAGCTTCTAAAAAGCTGCCAAGTGTCTTATGCAGCTTTAAATAAGTAAAATGAATATATTGATAACTAAAAACTTTAACTATTTAAAAAATTGTAGCATTTGATACTAGATACATGGTTAATATTATGGATTGTTTAAAATATTACGGTTATTTTTTTATGAATTTAAGCATTACTTTAAGAGGTACGAGTTTCTTGAGTACTCTCTCCATCGAAAAAATAAAAAGACAATTATATAAATAGTCGATTATGTTAGAAAAATGAATACAAAATAGTTAATATTTTTTAAGCCACGAAGAGGCAATTTTAAGTTTCTAATTTGTAGTACTATTAGTAAGCAAGGAGGAGGATGGAGTAGTTAATGAAGCAAAAAAAAAAAAAAAAAAAAAACAGAAAATTTACCCAGTTGCGGCTAAAAAAGCAAATGGAATCATCAGCTCCCACCCGTTGATACTCATGCTGTTGAACAAAAGAAAAATCATATTGTCACACTCCACCATGCATCCACATTAATATATACTACTAACCCTGTCTCCGAAAAGTTATTTTACATGTTTAAACTTTATAACAATAGACCACATTAATTTGTTAATCCTCAAGAGATTCCCCATTGAGTTTATATTGTTCAAATTAAAACTTAATGTAGACTATATATTTTCTGGGGCAAAATGAGTATTATGATTACACCATCCAGTCCTAATTATATGATACAAATTAAAAATACAGACACTATTAATTTGAGTCTTTTATAATTAGGAGTATTAAATATATTTTTTTTAAAGTTTAAACGGAAACCATTCTTTCATTATTAATTAATAGTTTAGACTTTTATCAATCTTACCATACTGACAGGGCTCCGACGGCTATGGTGGCATTCTTGAGGTTGCCGGTCATTATGATCAAAACTCTATAGTACCAGAATTCCAAACTGGATGAAACAAATCATTTAATTAGTTGCGATTGGAACTCTTGAAATCCTGTTACTAATATAACTCTTCTCAAATCTTCAGATCGACAATTATAAACCAAACAATGTATGCTAAAAAAGATATATACTAAAAAACGTATGCTTGTTTCGAAGCTTTCATTAAGTACCAATACGTAAAATTACCACTTGAAAAAAAAAAGAAGAAAACATCAAAGAAATAAAAACAAAAGTAAAGGGTTATTCATTCATCCAAAATGCTTATTCAATTTTAAATTTTTATTTCAGTACAAATTATACTAAAAATTAAAATCCAAACTGTATAGTCATTTCGAGACAGAATGAGTGTTTAAGTTTAAGAAAGTATACCAAAGCATGACTCCAGAGGCAGATGAAAGTTTAAGAAATTCACCAAGTCCAGAAAATGCTTCCATGGAAAATCCATTCCAAGTTAAGGGACACCAACCGCCAAAGACAACATAGACAAACATGCCAAAGAAAGCAATCCACCAAGAGATGTCCAAAGCAACTGCTGCTCCAATAACTCCAAACTCAAACTTATAGACCAAAAGCCAACTGATGAAGATGTGAAACAGTAAAGTCGAAACAGAGATAAACGCGACAATGTTAACTTTTAGCTGGCTCATTAAGAACTTCTGCATGGAGCATGTAAATGGAATGGCCAAATGCATAGGGATGAACCAAAGGGAGAGCACTCCAGCAAGCTCAGCCACTTCATGTTGCTGTCCAAGGAGATTTAGAACGGGTGTCGCGAAAACGTATATCGGCAACAACAGAATGCTGCTGAAGCTGAGCACGATCCATGATCTTTGCAAGTATATGCCTAACTTGTTGTACTTTCTGGCTCCGTAAGCTTGTCCACATAGGGTCTCCAATGCAGTAGCCATCCCCAACTATTAACATTACAGGTTTTTACAACTTAATTACCACCATTTTCCCAAACTAATTTTCCAAGATCCCGAAGTTTGTTTATTCATCAAAGTACAATCTAAGCAAATAACATCACGTAACTGATCGATGATGCGAAAGTTCGTTTAATTTTAGTTTGTATTTTGATCTATTTATTAGAATCTAAATTGTACGTGTAACATAATAAACATGTAAATGAAAATATACGTACATGGATCTACGTAATTATTATAGATAAAAAATTTTTGATTAAATTTACAAAGTAAAAAATCAATGATGTGAATTAATTTATATCATTCCGCAGTTACAGGGCAAAAAGGTCGGAACTTTATCAACTGAACAAAAAAGCTATACAAAATTAAAACCCGTTGATAAAGTTCCGAATTTGTACTATCTTACTAAGATAATACAAATTTCAAATTTTAAAACCCGTTGATTCTGAGTAAATGCGCTTGAGTGTTATCATTTATAACTCAGTTTTTCTAATTTTCTGCCGTGGCATAATACAAAACATTCTATGACCTCCCTTTATAGGTCTAGAGGGAATACCCACTAATCCCAAAGTAGTGCCAATACCACTAATCCCAAAGTAGTGCCAGCCACACACATACCATGACCCGACAAAGAGCACTAAAATTAACTTTGGAATATGTTCAAAAACATTATACAAGTATCAAAGTTATTTTTCAAATTTAAATTTAAATTGTACTAAAAATAAAGATTCAAACAAAATAAATTATTTCAAAAAAAAAGAAAATAGGAATTTTTAATTATCTAACCATTGTCTTTACGAAAGATTTGGACTCGCAACTCAAAACTGATATATAAAAAGAGTGGGTGGGATCGATTAGCGTTTTGTACACTAATTACGAATATCGTATTACACAGATGTGGGGGTTAATTCCAAACAATGGAATAATACTTTTAGCCATTTAAAATTTGAGATTCGGTGCTGGCTAATTGTGATGGTTAATTATGGTTAACACTTACCAGAAAGCCAAAGTTGAAGGCAACAATGACAGATTCAGCAATACACATGGAAGCCAATTGGGTTACACCAAGGTGGCCAGCAAATGCTTGGGTGACTGCATTCATGGAGTAATTGGATGTACGGTAGATGATAGCTGGCCCCACAATTTTCCATAGCTTCTTTGTTTCAGTCACTATCCGGCCTTTCAGATCATCATGATGATCGCTAATTACATCTCCCTGCTCAGTTTCGTTACCTTCAAACAAATTCTCTGTGAAATGTTTCCATGTTAGTACCCAATTTTTCAAGATAAAAAGCAAAGCAAATTATCTGTCGCTAGGCAGAAAAGACAGTACCTAAAGGAGATCTTTGATTTGGAAACTAAGTAAAATAATAAGGTACGTAATTGCCGCGACTTGTTCGGAAAGTTAAGATATCTATAAATTTGTGAAATTTAAGTTATGTAACTATCATGGCCTAACAAAAAAAAAAAAAAAAAGTTATTGTTACATACAAGACGGCACAAAAGTGATATGCCTTTTCCGGTCCCATCTTAATATTTTAATGGGAGCCAGAGACTGACAAATATCCCACTGTATGAATTATGTAGCTTATTTTGTTGAACATATGAGATCATCAGCGAGAAATATAAATTAATGGAGATAGCTTTGTTCACGAGTAATGCAAATTAATGAAGATAGGTCTCTACACGAGTAATATTTATGGTGGTTATGATCAAATCTAAGTTTCTAAGGGAAAAAATGATTTCAGATAATGAAACTTTCAATTTCTAAAATATACGTTAGCCATTTACAAAGGAGAAATAAATGAACATGAATTTATTAATAAATAAACACAAAAACTTATCAAGAATAGATAATGAAACTTTCAATTTCTAAAATATACGTTAGCCATTTACAAAGGAGAAGTAAATGAACATGAATTTATTAATAAATAAACACAAAAACTTATCAAGAACCCAAAAAAGAAATAAACTCACGAGCTTGATCAGCAGGTGGGAGAGGCTGGGAGGAGGGCAAGTTGGTAGCTTGCCTGAATTCCTGCCGGACGGAAGTCGTCAGTAATGAGGGATCTTCGTTACCGTCAACCAAATCAAAACTGTGGTAAGTTGCCATTAATTATTCAATTTTCGTATATATGTTCCCTACGATTTTGCTCTATTATTTTTGCCAAAACAACAAATGAAACATCGATTCATCACTCATATATATAGCTCTCTTTATAAACTTTTTCCACTGGTAAACATATATGAACCGTACGATCGATGAAGTAAAGTTCTATTTAAAAATATTAATGCTAGAGTTGTCGGAGAGAGAGAGAGAGCCACTAAAACGGTTTTAAGTGACGGATGGAAGCATTAAGTGAATTTTGTTGGAATTTTTTTTTTTTAGTATTGTAAAGTATATGTCTTTTCAATGCAAAGGTACAATTGAAAATAGGATAAAAGTTATATCGATTTTATAAAATGATATATATTTTAAAGCAAAATTTTAAACCTTAAAATAATATATATTTAAGAATAGAAGGAGTATTTTATTGGATTAGGTTAATATTTGAACTTCTTGATGCTTCAGCAAAACGGAACTACGTAGAACCGAAAAGGTGGTGCTGCATGAGGAAATTTCTTCGTCTTTTTTTTTCTTTTCCTTTCTTCTTCGATTTAAAAGAGATCATGACCTTCGTAAAGCAAAAGTATAGATAGGTAACCATCTTTAAAGACTCTGCAAGAATCAATCCTATAAGATGAAGTATTGAACAAGAAAAAGAAGATCTTGGAAAACAGGCTTTCTGGAAAGAACATCTTTTCTGTATTTCCCATCATCAGTTTATGAGTTCCTTTACATGTATATATCACCTTCTTCTAAACTGAATTCCTAATTATTTACAGAAAGAAAGAAAACACTCTTAATCTCATCCATTGATCTACACAACCGACTTAATAAACCAACTCAATCAACGTTCAGGATTCAAGGAACTTTGAAGTATGCGGATTGCTGACATGGCTTGCCACACCTTCTAGGTGGATTAATATGTGCTCCTGAGACTCGAGTGATTTCGGGTGCTGCTTGATCAATTGAAGATTCCTGAGGCCATGTATGAATTGCTGTCATGGCTGCTGTTTCTTGTGAAGTTGATGATGCTGCTGCTTTTGTTGATGAAGAATCCAATACCCCCTCCTCAAGTGGAGCATCCCATAAGCTCAACTTGGACAGAATGTAATTGAAAGCAGGAGCAGGAAGAGACTTGGTAAAAATATCAGCCAATTCTTGGGAGGAATTAACATGACGCGGCAATATAAAACCATCCTTGAACTTGTCTCTTACTACATGACAATCGATCTCGATGTGTTTAGTCTGTTCATGAAACACAGGGTTTGCTGTAATATCTATTACTGCCTGACTATCACACAGAAAAGGAATAGGAAGTTGTAGAGGAACTTGGAAATCATGCAGCATGTAAGTGATCCACTGAAGTTCCCGAACTGTAGAAGCCATCACTCTGTATTCAGCTTCTGCTGATGAACAAGAGATGGTGGATTGCTTCTTGGCTTTCCAGGATATAAGGCTGCTACCCAGAAAGATGCAATATCCTGTAATGGAATGCCTTGAAGTACGACAAGCTCCCCAATCTGCATCACTATAGGCGGTGAGAGACAAGGAAGTATGACTGGAATAAAATAAACCTCTTGAAGGACAGCCTGATAGGTACTTCAGAAGATGAACTGCTACACTCCAATGTGAATCATGAGGTTTATGAACAAACTGACTAAGTTGTTGGACTGAATAGGTGATATCTGGTCTTGTGTAATTCAGATACAACAAACGACCAACTAATCTCCTGTACTTCTCTGGATTGTGATACAAAGGAGTTTCATCTTTATCTTCTGGCAGTAGCAACACAATCAAGCAATCCTGTATCTTGAAGTAGATCAGTAACATACTTCTTTTGGCTTAGATATATACCAGATGTGCAGCGTGCTATCTCCATTCCCAAGAAACATCTGGCAATTCCAAGATCTTTAATACTGAAAGCATCATCAAGAAAATGCTTTACCTTTTGTATTTCAGTATCAGAAGTGCCTATAATTAAGACATCATCCACATATACAAGAAGAAACAACTGATACTGAGGATGATGTAAAGTAAACAAGCAATGATCATGATATGACTGAGTAAATCCATAATCATAAAGCTTAGAAGTGAATTCTTTATTCCATTGTCTGTTGGCCTGTTTCAGTCCATATAATGATTTCTTCAACAAACAGACTTGACCCTTCTTGGCCTTATCATAACCAAGTGGTGGATGCATATATACCTCTTCATCAAGAATGCCATGCAAAAATGCATTGTTAACATCTAGTTGAAACACTGACCAATTTCTGATGGCTGCAAGGGCAAACAAGATCCTGACAGTAACTACCTTAGCTACTGGGGAGAAAATTTCAGTAAAATCTTCTCCTTCTACTTGTGTATAACCCTTAGCTACTAGTCTAGCCTTGTAACGCTCAACAGAACCATCTGGATTACACTTCACCTTATACACCCACTTAGAACCCACTGCTTTCTTTCCTGCTGGCAAAGCAGTTAATTCCCAAGTACCATTATCTTCAAGTGCCTTCAGTTCCAAGTTCATTGCTTCTACCCACTTCATGTTTGTTCTAGCCTGATTATAGTGTGTAGGTTCATGTATAATAGACAAATTTGCTACAAAATCATTATATGCATGACTAAAAATGCAAGTGTTGTCAGAAGGAGAAAAGACAGATGATTTTGATTCACACTGAAAAGTATAAAAATCATCCATCCAGGCAGGTGCTTGATATAGAATATTTCTGGTACTTCTTCTTAAAGGAGGAGGAGAAGGAATGAAGTGATCCATTGTAGGTGAATGGGAATCTGTATGAGAGGAAGAATCTGGATGAACAGAATGTCAATCTCCAGATTCATGAGATGGTGAATCTTCACAAGGAATACTCACAACAGGTAGAGGAATAGCATTACTTACTTCTGGAATAGAAGGAAATATGGTTTCATGAAATACCACATCCCTGGAAACAATGGTTTTGTTCAGGCTAGGACAGTAAATCTTGTAACCCTTTTGCCCTGGGGGATATCCAACAAAAATCCCTTTAAAAGTTTTGGGATCAAACTTATCTCTGCCTGGTCCATTATTTACTGCAAAACACAGGCAACCAAAATTTCTAAGTATAGAAAGATCAGGCTGTTTGTTATACAATCTTTCAACAGGGCTTTGCCAATTCAGTGATTTGGAGGGCCATCTGTTTATCAAATATGTGGCAGTAAGGATTGAATCCCCCCAAAATCTCTTAGGTAATTTGAATTCTAGCAGTAAAGATCTTGCAACATCCAGTAAATGCCTGTGTTTTCTTTCTACAATTCCATTTTGCTGTGGAGAGTATGGACAACTTCTTTGATGAAGAATGCCCTTTTGGTCAAAAAATACTGAACAGGTTTGATTTAAAAACTCGGTTCCATTATCAGTCCTGATGATCTTGATAATGGTTTGGAATTGTGTACAAACCATATGATAAAAACTTTCAATCAAGGCTGGTACTTGACTTTTATGTTGAAAAAGAAAAGTCCAAGTACATCTGGAATGATCATCCACTATGGTTAGGAAATAATGACAATTGGTATTGGTTGCTTGATGAAATGGTGCCCAAACATCCATATGAACAAGCTGAAAACAATAAGAACTCATAGAAGTACTGACAAGAAAGGGCAATCTGGTTTGCTTAGAAAGGGAACATATCTCACATTGATAATCCTTTAATGTCTTATCAAAAGAAACATTACAACCATTCAAATGCTGTATTACATGAGATGAAGGATGACCTAATCTGGAATGTATCATTCTTAAAGGAACAACAAATGAAACTGAATTACAAGTCTGATCAAAGGTTTTGTGACTAACAGAAATACTGAGATGTAACATATCTGCTGCATACATCTCTTGAGATTTTGAAATTGCTTCAGTGGTAAATGAAAACGAATCCAGAACATAGAGCTCTTTGATGATTCTTCCTGCTGCAAGGACCTTGCCAGTTTTAAGGTCCTGCAGAAGACAGAAATCAGCAAAGAATTTAAAGAACATGTTTAAGGTTTTTGTCAATTTTCTAACTGAAAGCATATTGTATTTGAAACTAGGCAGATGTAAACATGATGTCAAAGTGACAGATTCAGAAATTGTAACATCTCCAAAATGAGTAACTGGTTGGATACTACCATCTGGTAGCCAAACTGGTGTATAAGAATCAAAGGTTTTGATGTTATGCATTAATGAAATGTCAGTGCACATGTGACCTGTAGCTCCTGTGTCTGTTACCCATGCATTTCTACTAATATCAGATGCAATCCAGGAAGCTAAAGCATAAGAAGAACTACCTGCAAAATCATGGTAGTGTGCCATGTTCACTGAGTGTCCTGCTCCAGTATTGATGATTCCCTTTCCTTTACTGATACATTCAACTTCCTTCTGCACCGCATTGTTAAACATCTACTGATATGAATCCGTCCCTTCACTACCAAAATCCAGTGGTGTAATGCTCACATTACCATGATTATAAGTCTGTGTTTGACCCTGCTGCCCATAAGGTACCATCCCTCCAGCATTTCCAGCTGAACATGTCTGAGTTGAACCAATTTTATTGATGCCTTGATTCATTGATGTTGCAGTTGCCTGTGGATATTCAATCATGTTTGCTGCATTGAAACCCGGTTTCCTTCCCTTTGAAGTAGGCCACCAGTCTGGATATCCTTTGATCTTAAAACAGTCTTCAACTAAATGTCCTGGTCTCAAACAGTGAGTGCATTTCAGATGACTTTTGTCAACTTTCTGATATCCCGAATAATTTTGATTCCTTCCTGTCACTTCCTTTTTCCAACCAGAAGATCTTGCTAGCATTGCTGAACTTTCCGGCCCTTGCATCATCATTGCAACATTATCTGAGGTTGCAGTTATGTGAATGCTCACTTGCCTATATTTCTCAGCAGTTGTCATCATATGATATACCTTATCAACAGAAGGTATAGGATCCATGAACAATATTTGACTCCTTTCCGGTTCATAAACATCATTAAGCCCCATCATAAACTCCATTACCTTATCCTCATTTTCCCTTTTCACAATCAAATCCCCAATCTCTCCTTCTATCTCAGGAGTTGGCCTCAATTCTTCATATTGATTCCAGATTTGTTCAATCTTTCTAAAGTAATCACTGACAATTAAATTTCCTTGTCTAAGCAGAGCAATTTCTCTCTTTAATTCAAATAGGTGAGGCAAATTAGTCTTACCAAATCGTTGTTCCAGACTCTTCCACAACTTCCT